ACTGGATAAGTGCGCCGCTTGGGAAGCGCGGCGGCGCTCCCGCCCGAGGGTTCAGATCCCATATACAGACGGGTTCCCGCTCACTGGCTGAGCGAGGTGCGGGGGCAACGCCGAGGGTTGCGATCCCGTTGCCGGTCCCCGGTCCGGTACGGGGGCAACACTGAGGGTTGCGATCCGTTGCCGGACACGGAAAAAGACAAAAGACAAAAATATATATATATATCAACTCAGTTTCTAACATTTGTTATTTCATTCTGATGAGATGAATTGGGTTAGGAATCACCTCTTATATGAACTGAATTAATTAATGTACTGGGCAGATAATTTTCCAAAATATGGGACCCACTGGAGGAGTAGGATGAAACAGAATATAAAGGTCTATAGGGTGGTTACAAGGTTGGAAACACTGACTAAACATGAATCTTAATCTCAGGTCTGTGATGGCACTACTGGTATATGCCAGGTGTGCCAGGACTCTGGAGAGGATCTTACTAATGAAGATGAGAGGGAGATCTTTCTTGAGAATAGCTATCAGCTTTCTTTTTTTTCTTTTTTAGCTATCAGCTTTCTTACCTTTGTTCTTGCAGGCAAGATTCATGGACTTCAATATCACAAAGTCAGATAAAAGTAATTTTCAAACTGTAACAACAGACAAATTTTGGAAAACCTAGCTCCTTTTAACTATATGTCAAAAGGGTAGAGTTATAGCTAGCACAATGACTAAAACATAAGATCAAATTTCACATTATCTCACAAACCTCTGTTTCTGCTATAAGAAATAAGTTGAACTTCATCAAGTTCTATATTTTACATACTTTTTCATGAGGGAAAAAAGGTCTGATTCTGAGCCATACCAAAAAGAAGCACTTTAGTCAAACCTAAACATGGACAGAGGCCATATCAAATTCAATTGAAACATACAGAGGCCATATCTACATTAATATTTCAAACATTCAATATTTGAGCTATGTAAGTGGTGCTAGTAGGTGACTGTCTTTTGAAATAAACAGAGACATGAACACGTATTTATGTCTTTGAAATAAACATATCTTTTTTTTTTTTTTTTTCCCCTTTTTGTCTTTTTTTTCGTGACCGGTAACAGGATCGCAACCCTTGGTGTCACGCCCGCACCGCGCTCAACCAGTGAGCGGACCGGTCTCTATATAGGATCCGAACCCTCGGCGGGAGCGCCACCACACTCCCAAGTGCCGCACTCTACCGAGTGCGCCACTGGGCCGGCCCCGAAATAAACATGTCTTTTGAAATAAACAGAAAATTTAAATTTCAAGACCTTGTGGTTGTATTAATTTGATGTGGCTTATCTTAAAAACATTCCCCAGTGCTACAGGTAAAGAACAACTCTTCCTCTTCCGCATTAAAAACAAAATGGCTGAGGCCTGGACAGTTGGCTCAGATGGTTAGATTGCAGTGTTATAACACCAAGGTCAAGGGTTAGGACTCCTGCACTCGCCAGCCGCAAAAAAAAAAGAAAAAAAATTGGCTATATTTCTCTGCCTAATTTTGCTTAGCTGAATTAAACATTTTAAAAGTTTTCATCTTTACAACTAAACCAGAATCTTCAATTCTTAACCAGCCGAACAGCAATCTTCCTTACATGACAGCAATACATAAAAATAAATACAAAAAAAATTCTCACAGCATTATGTATAATCCCAACAATACAGCCACAGTCTTAAAAAATCAGTAATGTATTTATTTGCACAACATCAAAGGAAAGACTTGACAATCCAACATAATATCCTTATGAGGTTTACAATTTAATTATGACTAACCCAGTTTTGGGGGGGAAAAAATGGTTCTTGGTTTTCCTCAACTAACTTGAGGATGGTACTATTTTACATGCTTCAGTTATTTGTGCTGAAACATCAGGCACCTAAACATCCTTAGTTTTTGTAGAATTAGTACCAAGTCCAAAAAAGTCTTTTTTGATGATGTACCGAACACATTGCAAAATCACATTTCTTTCATGTCGAATGTCCGCAGCTAGAAGCTAAAAAACAATTTTAAAAAATTAGCTGGTTAATAAAATATGTCTGGGAAACACAATTCAAAATATTAAATGTGCCTTTCCAATATAAAGAACACAGAACAGTACGAGATATATTTTGCTAAAAGACAATGCAAAAATACTTTCTTTTTAACTTACACCAATACTATCTAACTTTTTAAAGAGCACAA